GGTACATGCCTTTAATCCCAGCACTCAGGAGGCAGAGGCAGGCATAGCTCTGTGAATTTGAGGCTAGCCTGGTCTAAAAAACAAGTTTCAGGGTTTACATAGTGAGACCCTGTATCAAAAAACAAACAATCCAAGCAAACCACACACACACACACACACACACACACACACACACACACAATCATTTAGGAGTTTATACAAATCAAACACTGTATTTTCTCCAGTAGACTGAATGCTTCATGAGAGTGGTATTTATGATATTTTCTCCAGCTTCTAGAATAGTACCTGGCATATAAAAGGTGTTGAATGAATGGTATACTTTCTGAAGGCAGGAATCTCATAGTCTATGTCCCTATAGTAAATCCTAAGTTGCTAATTAGAAGATTTGTATTCAGAAAAACAATTTTAATTTTCTTATTAGCTAAATGTAAAATATTCCTGGCTTACTCTTCCCGGCCAACTGTATGTAATTTGGCCCAAATCACACATGGCCTCCTAGATTTGGGGAGGGCTTCAAGTATGCAATCTGGGGAAGGGAAGAGAAGGCATGACCCATGCTGGGTAAAGGCTTTCCAGTGTGCATACCCTCAGGTCACACATACACCTCAGCAACCCCGCAGTTATCTCAAAGCCTTTGAGAGGGAACTGGCACTGATTCTAACCACTCTCAACAGTTACCAAAATACCTGAAAGCAAATCCTGAATCCATCACTCTAGAGTCCAGCCTTGGAAGACAAAAGAAAGATGAGGAGGAACCCAATAGAGGGGTGCTTTTGGAAGCCCTTGTCAAGAAATTCCAATGGACTCTCATATGAACATTTGAAAATTGCCCTGTTCTGACTTTTTTCTAGTTCCCTGTCTAGAACTTGTAATGCTAATTAGTCTTGCCTTTACTTCTCCTTCACATCTCCTATTCACATTCAAGGGCTTTCTTTTCCCCCTAGAGGTAAGAGTTATTAAATTTGGGAGTTTTTTTAGACAGACCCACTGAGGGGGTACCCCAATTGCCTCACCCTGGGTCCCTGTTCAGCATGGAAGAAGCCAGAGCGGTTTGTGTCCTAATTCCCTATTGGCAATTTGGGTAACCTCTACAGAGGATGGTGTGATAAGAATAGGAGGTAGGAAATGCCTAGGCAGTTAGGGTAAAGAGACCCCAAAGAAAAGTAGTGTTTCTTGGCTAAAACTCACAATGTCCTTGGGCCTCTTAGCAACATACTCTATCCCAAAGGCCAAAAAAGTTGAAAATATTTGGGAGCTTGTATCTAATTTTAAAAGATTTTAGGGCTACCTCTTCAGAGGGGGGAATATTAGAGTAGCCAAAAGTCCCATAATAAGATAAAATAAATCAAAGAAGAAAAAAAAATTGAGTCAAAAGCTTTCCACAGTTTTGCTTTGCTCTTTTCTCTTAGTTACTACTCATGCCCCCATTGTTATTTATGATGCAAACACTATGAATTTTCCAAAGCACACCTGTCGTTTTAGATGTGGGAAAACCCAAATTTGAGACCCAGCTTTTGTGTTTATTTTTATTGTATTTTTGTCCATGCGACTTCGGCTATATACTTTCACCATAGCCTATCTATCTATTAATAAAATAAAAATAATTATTCAACTATAAAAAATGAATTCCTGGCTTAAGTAATAGTCAAGATTTCTTCCAGCCTGATACACTATCAGTCTACTAGTTCTCATAAAATAATTAAAATAATTCATCATTAAATCTAGAATGGGTGAATTTTTGATTTAGAAAATAATGTCCTGGTAAGGCATGGTGGCCCATGCCTTTAATTCCAGCACTGGAAAAGCAGAGGCAGGCAGATCTTGGAGTTGGAGGCCAGCCTGGTCTATATAGCAAGTTCCAGGCCGGCTGGGGCTACAGGGAAACCTTGTCTCAACTCCCCACCCCCAAAATCAAAACCCATAATGTGGATCCTGGGGATTGAACTCAGGTCTTTAGGCTGGGTGGCATGTGCCCTTACATTAACTCTGACATCTTACCAGTACTCGAAAAGCTTTTTAAGTTAAAAAAATTTTGAATTACTTTTCAGAATTATTTTAAATTATTGTGTGTGGTGTATATGTATGTACATGTTAATGTGTATAGGGTGCAAGTCAGAGGACAACTCTGTGGAGCTGGTTCCCTCCTTCTACCTTTACTTGGGTTCCAGGGATTGAATCCAGGTCTCTAGGCTTTCTGAAAGGCAAGGGCCTTTACCTGCTAAGCCTTCTCACCAGTTCTCCAGTGAGGGCGGGGGCTCTCTGAACTGGGAGCTTATCAATTCTTTAGACTAGCTGGCCAGCAAGCCCCAAGGATCCTGGCTACCTCTTACTGGATATTTGGTTTTCTAAACTTAAGACTTAGAAAAATTATCTTGTGATTAGGAACTAGCATTTTTTCAAAATGGAAAAGCATATTTTTTGGTTAGTTATTTTTTTAAATTTTATTATTTTTATTCTATGTGTATTTGTGTATAGCCTGCATGTATGTGACTGTACCCATGTCATGAAATACCCTCTGAGGACAGAGGTCATTGGATCCCCTGGAACTGGAGTTACCAACAGTTGTTAGCTGCCATGTGGGTGCTGGAATTCAAACCCCGGTCTTCTGCAAGAACAGCCAGTGTTCTTACCCACTGAGCCATCTCTCCAGCACAAATATCTTTTTTTTTTTGTGTGTGTGTGTGTCTTTTTTGAGACAGGGTTCCCCTGTAGCCCCAGATAGCCTGGAACTCACTTTGTAGACCAGGCTGGCCTTGAACTCACAGAGATCCACCTGCCTCTGCCTCCTGAGCGCTGGACTAAAGGCATGCACTACCATGCCCAGCTTGGCTTGCTATTTTTAAACAAAAAATATTTACTTTAAAATGAAGCTGAATTAATCAGATTTGAAATTAACTATCACTGGTAGAATTGCAGTGTGCTCAATAAGGAAAATGATCTTGAAAAGGACTTTGCATGGAAGTCAGTGACAGAATATGGCCCCCAAATAAAGACCAGTACTTGATCTTTTACTAAAACAAGGAAAAAAAAGTTCGAAAAATGACAAGGATGGTTCACGCCTGTAATCCTAGCACTTAGGATCAGGAGTTCAAGGCCAGACTGGGCTACAATATACTTATCTTAAAAAAACTAAAGCAAGGGGCAGGAGAGACGGCTCCGCAATTAAGAACACTGACTGTTCTTGCAAAAGACCCAGGTTCAAATCCCAGCGCCCACATGGCGGCTAACAACTGTCTGTAACTCCAGTTCCAAGGGATCCCTCAGCCTCTTCTGTCCTCCTTGGGCATTGCAGGACACAGGTGCACTTACCTACATGCAGGCAATTCACGCATAAATTCACGCATACACATAAAACAACAAAAAACCCCACAGCAAACAAAAGTTAATAACATCGAGGTGAACTGTCACATGGTGGATTAGTAGAGGACACACGTGTTCAGTTTGGATGTGAGAGGTTTGGGGGAGACCGGCAAAGCAGCATTCTGAGGAAACCTGCCGGAAGAGCCTGGAAAGAACTTACTAAAATAATAAGATAAACACATACTCAACTTGAGGCTTTCATCACCAGAGTGAAGCCGCCTTACGATACTAGACCCTCAAGGAAAAGGTTCAGCAGCACAATTACAAAGATACATTATGGAAAAGACTCGGAAGTAAAAATCACTCAAGTTTTAACTTCTTTCAGTAGCTGAAAATATAATTCCAAGAGATTATATGCCTTGGACCATCCTATGAAAACGGAGTAACTATTAGGCTCATAGATCTTAGAGCCGATGGAAAAGCCAATGGGCTTTCTAAAAATGTTCAAAGAACGGTTTATTTTATCTTTTAAACAAATCTCAAAGGGTGGGGAAGGGTGGGGTCTAGCTAGCTAAGTCGTAAAATCGACTGTCTAGCAAGCAGAAACCCCTGGGTTCCACCCCTAACAGCGAAAGATAAGAAAAACCAAACCAAACCAAACCAAACCAAAAAAGCCAAAAAAGCCAAAAACAACCAACCAACTAAAACACCTCACATACAAAAGCCAAACAAAAAGCCTTCCAAAATCCCAATGTAAAATTTCCTAAAAAGGAATTAAAAGAACAATTTTTGACAGGCTATTATGTGTGCAAGATTTGTAATTTTCACGTAAAAACATAAAATGTACCCATTACTATTTTAAAGCTAAGAGAAATATTACTTTTGTTTGAGGGCTCCAGGAAAAATCCTCATACCCGAACGAATACAAGATTCCAAGTTTCACGTACAGGACGGTGATCTATTAAAAGTACGGGGTGCAGGAATAGCCTCATTAGCAATCTGCACCCTGTGGCCAGCAGAGGCCCGGCTCCACCTGACCATTTCAGGGGCACAATACATCATCCAAAGCCCACCCTTGACAACTAGAACACTTTAGAGAAAGAAAGAGGCCAAGGAGCCCCGGGCCCCGACCCTTTCCGCAGCGGGCACTTAATCCGGGGTCTCATTGTTGTGGAGCAGATGTCACTGTGGGTGGGGCCGCCGCGCGGAGCAGCTGAAACCCTGACTAGCCACCCGTCTACCCCCACACTGTCCATGGGATAGAAGGGGCTCCGCAGGGCAGAGAAGGGCTTGCCACCGTCCGTTCCCGTGGGAAGCAGGCGCGCCTGCCCGGGCCGTAGCCCTCCGAAAGCCACCGCGGTTCCCCAAAGACCCCGGGCCGAGTCCCGCCAAGAAAAGTCCGCCCCTCTCCCCCGCCGCCTCCTCCTCAGGACACGGCCGCGTCCGACTTCCCTCCTTCCCACGCAGAGGTGAGGCGGCCGCGCGGAGGGAACGCAGCGGGTAGGCGGCCCGGCCCGAGGGGAAGGACAGCGGAGAGGAGCGGGGGAGGCTCCCGGCACGAATCGACTCGGGCAGAGAACGACCCTCGGGTAGCCGAGCAGAGGTGACGGGGGTCGGCGCTCACTGCGGGCTGGGCCGCGGCTTCCGGCGGGGCTGGGCCGGGGGACCAGGAGACCCCGGAAACCGCGGCTCGCACTTGCCTGAGAACGGGTGACCAGCAACTGGTAATAGTCTTTACTGGGCGCCGGGCCTTGTCCTACTATTTTGAACAGTGTCTCCGGCAGCCGCGACGCCATCTTGGGACGCCACCGCCGTCGCTAAGACAACCAGGAAGGGGCGGAGCCTGGCCGGGGTCAGGGGGCCAGGGCGCTCGTTGCCAGCCCAGCCCGCTGTCGAGGTGGCAGGGGGGCGTTTCGAGCGCGGGGTGGCTGTCTCCTTTCCCACAGGGCACCCGGAACCCTCTTCGAGAAATTTCCACAGCAAGGGCCGAGGTGACCCGAAGTGGAACTAGTTCCTGCTGGCGCGGAGGGGCGGGGGTGACCCTAGCGGAGGGATACGGAGCGGAGCCCCGTCGGCCCCTTCCTGGTCCTTCGGAGGGGTCGGCAGCAGACGGGGTAGCTCGCAAGCTCGCGCTGGGCGCTCGGGACGAAGCAGCGGGGTGATGGGCCGCTTGTAGCCGCCGGGGCCGCCGCACTACCAGCCCGCAGGCCGCATCCGCAGGGAAAGTAGTCCCCAGCGGGCTCGCTCGGGCGGGCAGGGAGGCGGCGCGGGCGGAGGCGCACGGCGGCGCGGTGCTGCGGCTCAGCTGATAATTGAAGGGACGAGGAGCCGTCGCCGCCGCCGGGGGGGAGGGGGGAGCCAGTGGAAGTTGCCGCGCCACCGAGTCCGGACCGGAGACTTTGGGGCCTAACTAGGTAATTGGGACGCCGCTCGGCGTAGCGGAAGGGCTGGCGGGCGGGGGGCTGCCGAGGGCTGAGAGGCCGAGCGGCGAGTCTCAGGCAACCCGCTCGTATCGCCCGGGCCCGCTCGGCCTGCCGGCGGCCGCAAAACCCCGACCCGAGGCTGACGAGTGAGGTGCTCGAGGGAGCCCGTGGCCTGAAGAGCCTCGGCCGCCGGGCGGGGGGCGGCGCTGGGTTCCCGCTGCGGCCTCCGGCGATGAGGAGGACCGGACGCGAAACCCGGTTAGGGCGTGCGGGTCTGGGGGAGCCCAGCGGGGGCCGGGAGGGGGCCGGAAGTGGGCTCTGGAGCCCCAGGGCGTCTAAGGAAGAGAGAAAGTGGGGGGCCGGAAGTGCAGGTGGGGGGCGTGAAGACGGCCAGGGTTCCCCGGAAATGGGACGGGGGGCCCGGAAACTGGGAGAGGGTGGCTCTCTGGGTTGTGGACCGCCCGGAAATGGAAACTCAGGAGCAGCTCGAGTGACAACTGTTGTGGGCTGTGAGGGTCGGAGGGAGAGGCCAGAGCGACTGCGGACCGCGGTAAGGGGCTTCCTGCCCCGCGGACGGTTGGGGCAGGCGGCGGGGGTCAGCGGGGGAAGTTGAGGCTGAGGGACGACGACGGCGTGACGGGCGGGCCCGGGGAGTAGGCCGAGAAACTTGGCTGAGGGGAGCAGCATCCTGGACAGACCTGAAGGGCCCGGGGCGGGGAGGAGGAGGGGGCCGAGGGTCGCCCAGTCGTGATAGCATCCCAGCGAGCCCGGATTAATTTATTTCTATGTGGATTACATAAAGCCCATGACACAGTTGGTCCCGCTGCTCCGCGCGTCCCTGCTCTGTGGCAAGTGGGTTTCTTGTGAGGAAGCAAGTGGGGGAGCTGCTCGGGGAATGGAGGCTGTGAAATGCAGACTTCCCTCGGGTCCGCAGCTAGCTCGAGGGGGAGAATGGTGTGAGTCTGCGGGTCCGAGGTGAGAACTTCCTCGGGATCACAGCAGGACGGGAGGGTGGGGACGGCCGGGGAGGGGGGCCTCGTTTCCTCGGTCGGGGGAGGTCGGCTGGTGCCCCGCGCTGGGTGTAGTTGGAGCTCCGTTAATTGGGGGGCGGGAATGTTTGTGAGTAGACGTCGGGGGGCGGGGTGGGGGGCGGTTGATGGCGCAGAGACTCTGTTCCGAGTGGACTAAACCGCACTCCGGTCCCCCTTCCTAGTCAACGCTCGCGGTCCGGCCCAGGCTGCCCAATCACCCGACCTCCAGGCTTCCTTCGGTTTGTAGGCCTGCGGTTCGGTGCCTAACTTTGTTCTGGTCTGCAGCCGCCTCAGATATTTTAGGCATTTAGTCTTTTGAAGGCTAGGCAAGTTGAGGCTTAGAGTCTCGTCGCTCAAAACAAAACAAAAATACGTGGTGGAAAGTTGAAAGATCCATTGCTTGGGGTAAAACCCAAAGCTGGGAACAAAGGTCTTATGCTAGAGAAAAAAGCAAGAGGCCTGTGTATGAGGCCTTGTGTGTCGCATTTACACGGGAAAGACAGTCAATTAGGATTGAGTGGAGTTCTTAGAAGTTTAGGGACAGTGACTTGTAGAGGGTCTTTCTGAGGCTTATTTTCATATGCAATGCAGGTGTCCCAGTATTAAATCTGAAACAATTTCTAATTCACTTGTTACACGGTTGGGCCCAGAACTGGTATGGGGTTCTGCCTTTGTAGCCTGTTTGCTTGTGGGCTTTGTGTGTGCCTGCTTTTCTCTGAATGTACCAATATCAGAAGAATTGCAGAACTGTAATTAAGATTATTATTGTTTCCATCTGCTCCCCAGTGTCTCGGGGTTCTGAGTAGTGTTTTAAGTCTGCTCAGCTGACATTTAGTTTGGGTCTCTGGTCAGGCATTTTGTTTTTCATATACCTTCTGAAATTTTTTAAACACTTGGTATTTGGAGTTCCAGAAAGTGTTAATGTGAAAATAGCAAAACTTAAAAATGGATGGGAGGCTAGGTAGAGAAGGGGGATCTGTGCTCTCACTAAGGGAAGGAAAGTAAATTATTTTGTTTCTAAGTCAGGGTCTCACTATGTAGTCCTGGCCAGTCCTGGTCTACCTAGTAAGTTCCAGGCTAGCCTTGAACTCAGATCTGCTTACCTCTGCCTCTTAGATACTGGGATTACAGGTGTAAGCCCTCTAAGCTTGGTGAGGGAAGTAAATTTTGGAGTTGAGTATGTTTCTATTCTAATTTGATTATTGTGTTTATATTATCTAGATGAGATTTTACAATTGTATTTTAAAGACATCCTGCGAAGACGATTCATCACTGACTTAAATTCACATACTTCCACTTAGTAGTTCTGTGACCTTGAGCTCCCTCACTTAATCTGGCCTCCATTTTAACTGTACAATGTGGATAGGTAATACCTATTTTTCACTGGGTGGATTTGCGGTGGATTTGAGGCCTAGCTTAATACCTGTTTTTCACTGGGTGGATTTGAGGCCTAGCAGGGTAATGGCAGTTTTTTAAAAAACCCAAATGTCTTTAAATTTTTATCATTTTTTTTTTATATATATGACTTTTGTCTCATAGTGCACCATGTGCCCTCAATCTTTGAAGAGACCACAGAAGACAGGGTTGGATCCCCTGGGGTTTACTAGCTGCCTTGTGGATGCTGGGAATTGAACCCCGGTCCTATGGAAGAACAAGTGTTCTGAACCATTGATCCATCTCTTCAGCCATATATATATATATAAATAAAGTATGCGTATTGCACACTCTTTTTTTTAAAGATAGGGTCTTACTATGTACCCCTGGCTGGCCTGGAACTCTATTTGTGGACCAGACTGGCTTCAAATCAGAAAGGTCTGCCTGCTTCTGGCCTCATGAGTGTTGGAATTAAAGGGGTGTGCCACCATGCCCAGCAAGTATGTTAATATTAGGAAATGATGGTTGCTGTTGGTAGTGGTCATCAGTAAGCGGGTATTTAAAAGGTAGACGCAAAACACTATAATTGGAAATTTTTGCTTGATTGGTAGTGGGACTTGGGTCTGGAGAGTGGTTAAGAGAGGCAACTAGCACCCATCTGTAACTTAGTTCGGGGAATCCAATGCCCTCTCCTGACTTCTACCTGCATTGCAGGACACGGGTGCATTTACACACATGCAGGCAATACACTTATACACTTCAAATAAAATATTTTTAAATCTGTTAAATTTTTTTAAAAAATCAAAAAAATTTTCTGAATTTACATCAACATGCCATCTACTTGTTGATATATGTCCTACACATAAACTTGTTGATCCTATTAGAGAAACATTTTAAAATTCTTGTTATTGATAGAATTTTAACCTGTTTTGGCTTGTGGCTCTCATACAATTTATTTTTGCTTTTTGGTTTTTGTGACGGCCAGATTTAGCCCCGGATTGCCTGGAATTTGATACTTGTTGATGATGACCTTGAACTCCTGATCCTGCCTCCACCTCCTAAATGGGCTTTTTTTTTTTGGGGGGGGGGGTCTTTTTAAGACGGTCTGTCTCCCTGAAGCCCCAGCTGGCCTGGAACCCACCGAGATCCCCCTGCCTCTGCCTCGCCAGTCCTGGGATTAAAGGCATGTTCCACCGCACATGACTACCTATTGACTTTTTATTGTCAAGAGTTTACAATTAAAGGGAAAATGTTTCTGAATCTTGGTTTCAGTTTACAGGCTCTAGGGAGTGTCGTGGTCCCCCCCACCCCCCCAAGTAAGTGGATGAGTGGGGCTCTTTCTTCCTGTTTACAGATAGGGGTTTCATACTTCAGGCTGACTTTTTGACTCAGGATCTGCTTCTACCCCCTAAATGCTGGAATTACAGGTATGTACTACCACACTGGCCTTGCAAAGGTAATTTGATGGACTCAAAAAACCCTAACCTATTTTTTTTTTTCATCTTTCTTGTAGTTAACAGCCTGGCATGCTCTTTCCCTTGTTTAAATTAAGTACCTGCTATGTACATGGTAGCC